AACTGTAAAATGTTTAGAAGAAAACATAGAAGAAAATCTTCTAGATCTTGGGTTAGGCAAAGAGTTCTTAGATATGCCACCAAAAGCACAACCCATAAAAGAAAAAATTGATAAATCAGATTTCGTCAAAATTAAAATCTTTGCTCTGCAAAAGACACTGTTAAGAAAATGAAACGATGAGCCACAGACGAGGAGAAAATATTTGCATATCACATATCTGCTAAAGGACTTGTATCCAGAATATATAAAGAATTCTCAAAACTTAATAAGAAAAGAAACAACCCAATTAAAAATGGTCAAATGATTTGAAAAAACACTTCACCAAAGAAGAAATATGAATGGCCAATAGTCAGAAGAACATATGCTTATCATCATTAGATATTAGGGAAATGCAAATTAAACCACAAGGAGCTACTTCTATACACCTATTAGAGTGACTTATAAAAAGAAATGACAAACAACTAGAAGGATGTGCAGCTATGACATACAACTATCTACTGGGGCTTTGGGGGGAAAATAAATAAATAAAATCTTTAAAAAGAAATGACAATGTCAGTACAAAGTGCTGTCAAGACTGTGGGACAATTGGAACTCTCATACTTTGCTAATGAGAGTGCAAAAATGGTGTAGACATTGTGGAAACGTTTGATGATTTCTTAAAAAGTTAAAAATATACTTACCATATGACCCAGCAATCCCACTGCTAGGTATTTACCCAAGTGAAATGAAAACCATGTTCCCACAAAAACCTCTATACAAATGTTTATTGCAACTTTATTTGTAATTGCCAAAAATAGGAAACAACCAAAAAGTCCCTCAACTGGGGAATGAATAAACAAAATGTGGTACATACATACAGTGGAATACTACTAAACAACAAAAAGGAATGAACTATTGATACATGCAACAATATAGATAAATCTCAAATGCATTATGCTGAGTGAAAGAAGCCAGACAAAAAGAGCAACTAATGAATGATCCTATTTATATGACGTTCTGGAAAAGTTAAAACTATAGGACAGAGAATAGATCAATGGGTACCTGGGCTTAAGAGTTAGGGGAGAGGTTTTTGTTTGACGGGTGTTGGAACTGTTCTAGATTTTGACTGTGGTGTGGTTGTATGACTATGCATTTGTCAAAATTCATAGATGTTTTTATGAAAAAGAGTAAATTTTGCTGTATGTCAATTTCAAAATGAGAACATATTTAAAAAATGAAATGAAAATGTTTTCCACTAATTTTTCACTTCAAGCTTTAAATTATTTTATAGATAACACAGTAGAGCATCTACAGAACATACAAGTAAGGAAAGAGTTCATGATTAACAGTTTACTTGAGTCATACTCAGACTCAATTTTCATCACAGTCCTTAGGAGATACCCATTTTTTTCAAGCGTTAATTCAGAAAAAAAAATTAAGATTACTGCAACATCCATCAATAGAGGACTGGTTAAATAAATAGCATGTCCAATGAAATATATACAGAGCCACATAAAAGTGAGGGATATCTGTATTTGCTGATTTGGAAAACATATACTTACTAAGTGCTTACTAAAATTTCTTTTACTGAAAAAAAGGGCAGATAGGATAGAGCTATGGGGAGTGTTTTGGGGAGGGTGTTATTGAGCTGGGGCACGTGAGGAGTTTCTGGAGAGGCTGGCACAGTTCTATTTCTTGACCTGGGTGGTTACAAAAGTGTTTACCTTACAGTAACATGATGCTTTACGTTTGTTTCAAGTGGTTTTCTGTATCTTTTGTATATTTTATATTTTACAACACAAAGGTATATTTTACAACAGAAAGGTTTAAATGCAAAAAGAAATTTTTAAATATTGAATTAAGTAAAATGAACATCTGTGAACTCATCACCCACGCCAAGAACTAGAACATTACTAATGACGTGTATCTACTGGCTCCACCAGAGGAAATCACCATCCTGAATATTGTGTTTATCAATCTCTTGCTATTTTTTAGCTTTATATTAAAAATACATACGCCTAAGCAATGTATTGTTTATAAAAAGGACATTGTGCTATGTATTGTCTTCTGTGCTTGACTTTTTGTTTTTTACTCAACATTATGCTATATAACATTATGCTACTAAGATTCTTAGACGTAGTTGCATGTTTTTGTAATTAATTTATTGGCATGCTGTATAATATTCCCTTTTGCTAATATACCACAGTGTATGTATTCGCCCATTAATGGGCATTTGGGTTTTGTTTTTTTGAAATGACTAACAATGCTGCTATAAGCGTTATTTGTGTGTGTGTGTGAGGAAGATCAGCCTGGAGCTAACATCTGCCAATCCTCCTCTTTTTAGCTGAGGAAGACTGGCCCTGGGCTAACATCTGTGCCCATCTTCCTCCACTTTATATGGGACACCGCCACAGCACGGCAGGACAAGCGGTGCATCGGTGCACGCCCGGGATCCGAACCCGGGGCCGCCAGCAGCGGAGCGCGTGCACTTAACCGCTATTGCCACAGGCCGGCCCCTATAAGAATTATTTTTAAAATTTAAAAATAGAAATTTACACAGAGAGGTAATAAGGAATCATATTGATCCAATTTATATATCTTTTTGTTTTCTTTTCAATGAAGAGTGCAGGTCTAGGGATGCACAAGGGCAATGAGGGAAGTGAAGTCATCAGTCTAGCCACCCTGATAGCCAGGGCTCTCCTTGGGCACTGGATGCTCTCATATGCTTTTGAAAGGATTCTTATATTTAAAAAAATTATATTTTTTAATACTAGTAATACTTCTTGCTGATTGCTTTTAATATACAAGTAAATGCATACTTCTTGTAAAAAGAAAACAACAAACCCAAACCTAGTAAGCATAATGGATAAGATTGTGCTTTTTACCCCCATCCTAGATCTCTTCCCTTCCCCAGAAGGGGACTCTAATCAGTCCTCAGATTCTTTAGTTTTCTTTTCTTTCTTTCTCAGGAAGCCTCTATAAGAAACCTTTGAAATGAAAACTCTTTAATTAGGGAGGTGTGAAATGATAAGACAAAAAAAAACGTGCAGAAAAGGTGTTCTAACTTAGACAAATATTTAATATTTGTTTGAACTGGTATTATCTGCATAGTGTATGGTGGAAAGCAGAGAAGAATTCCAAGTTTGTGGAGAAAGCAAAAATACAGTATGTTTATAGTTTCCTTTTGGTTAATTCATAAACATAATTCATCATACCTATTTTTTGGTTTTGTGAATGTACAGAATAAACAATATATGTCCATAATCAAACTTAACTCCAAAAATGCATTCCAAAGTGGGAAGGTTAGGGATCGTCTGCCTTATTTGACGACCGTCATCACTGGAGCATGGTAAGGTAGAAAGGACATTAGCTTTGTAGGAAGCTTGCCCATGCCACCTAGTAACTATGTAATCTTGGGTAAATTAAATAAAGTTTCTGAGTCTCAGTTTCCTCAACCTGCCAAATGGTTATTGTGAAGATGAAATGAGATAACCTACGTAAATTGCCTAGCACAGTATTTGGTGTGGACTCAGTCCTCAGTAAATGTACATTCTCGTCCCTACACCCTGTTGCTGTCCCTGATAGTGCTTGTCTTCATTGCCTTGTACTGCTTCTCTTAGAAGGAAAGATACTTTCTCTGTAGAAAGATCCAGTGAGGGCTAAAAAATGCTGCCCCTTGTTAGTAACTCACTCCTTTCCTAAGAAAAAAGGCAAAAAACAAAAACAAAACCAAAAAAACAGGGTCTCAGTGTTTTTAAACTGCAAACCCACAGAGGCTGCACAATTCCCAAGGTTTCTCCTAGAGCCCCCAGTCAGGGAACGGGGAGTGGCAGCTTTGGACCCTTCTTTTGACCCTCTGTTTTCTTGTCTCTTTATGGAAACGTGAAGCTCTTTGGTAGCAAGGAGGCGTTTGCCCCTTTCAATGTCTCTAAAATCCCAGCTAGGCAGAGTCCCTTAGAAAGGAAACATGAAGGGTTCCTTCAGCTGGCACTGCAGGAGCAGGGCTAGAGTAAGCAGAATATTGGGGTCTCTCCAAGGATGGCCCCAAGTCGACGTTTCCAGTACCAGACCTGGCTGGGCAGCCCAAGGGAGGGGGAGGAATGTGACTGGGTAAAGAGCAGTTTGGGACCACCTGGAAGGGAGAGAAAAGCTCTTCAAAAGGATCTCAGTGCCCAAGAAGCTATTCTTTCTCTATCAAAGGCAGAATGTTGAATGATTTCCCATGGGATTCGGGCTGCTATCATCAGGGACCTAATCTCCTGTGCCCACCTCTGTCTTCCTCTCTGACCTTCTGATGTTCCCCCAAAATAATGCCCTCATGGTCCTGACTGCACACGCAAATATTCTGAACTACCTTTCCCAGGAAAGCAACAAACTCTGAAACTACTTTCCTTCCTGCCCACCCACACCCTCCAGAGAACTCCGTTCTTCAAAATCCAAAGGCATAGCCTTAAGGTTCATTATTCCTTTAGAGGATAGAAAGACTGATTTTGCAGTTAAGTAATCCACATTAATGCAAGAATGACCAATGGCTGTTACTGTTGCTTTTTAAAAGAGGAACTCAAACGAATATTTAATAATCAGCAGAATGTCTGCAGGAAACTCTTTAGAGTAATGGAGTCCTTTAGGTGTCCCCCCGACCTTTGTCTCCTTACTCTCCCAGCTAGAAGAGAAGGGGACAGCTGCTTTGCATCTCACCTTTCAGGACACTCAATCCCCGCCCTCTTGCATCAGTTCAGGGGTGCGTGGTCTGAGTGGTCATGTCTTCTTGTCACTACCTTTATTGGAGAGTGGGGATAGATGGGCTAATATTCTCGGTCCCTGTTTCTGTAAGACAGGGACGTGGGTGTGCACAAGCCACACCCTAGGCACTATTCTTTTTGCTGTGCTTGTAATTGCCAGTATTCACACTTCCTCTCAAAGAAAGCCATCAGCCTGAGGACCACATTCTCATCATTGACTTCAGCTAGGCGCCGTCCCCTACTTCTCTCTCTCAGACCCCTCCGTTTGTGCTTTCTTACCTGCTGTCTGACAAAGCTGCATTCCCAGGCTCACAAGTAGCAGGAGGAGGAACATGTTCTGTGCCGGATCTGAAACAGACAATTGAAAGTATCAGGGCCTTCTGTAGTTTTGCTGGGTCTCATGATTTGGTGATTTCCTCACTCCTGAAAACAGGGAAATGACTCGTAAACAAATCTTTTGGGGAAGCATTGAACCGTGGTGGAGTGGAGCTGGGAAGACAAATTATAGATTGATTGTCTGGAGGAGAGGAGAGATAGGGTAAGAGAAAGCAAGGCGCTCTTTATCAATCCGGATTAGAAGCTCTTCTTTCTTTTCTAATAGCCTTTTCTGAATATGAACCAGTCCTCACAAGTCACCCACACAGGTGGTTATCTGTACCTCTTTGTCTCTCTCATGAAGCCTTCCACAGTTTTCTCAGTAGCAGGCCCTTGAAAACCAATCTTGTTTGTCAAATGAATAATGCACACCATCTTTTGCAGCTGGGCTGGAACTCTGGGAGTCAGACCCTTGAGGATAGTGCTCTGTAGAACAGAACTAGATTTTCAATAAGTGCTTGATAGTTGACTGAGCAAGTAAAGTAGTCAAGCTCTTTTGAGTGCTGTGATTGAGTTTGCCCATCATCTGAACTACCTGTTACTAAGAGGTTTAGACAGGGAGAGCAGTGAACTGGCTCCTTTCAATGAGTGCCAAACCTTGGTCCTGCTCCACCTTCCATGCTTCCATCATTGCTCAAAGGCTTTCTCCCACCTGAGGACTTCTCATGGTTGAAGACGAAAGGGACAGGACACATGAGTGTCAGTTATTTTGCCCTCAAAGGGCCTTTCAAAATTTTATTAGCCGTGGAACCATTTCTTCAAGGGAAATAAGTTGGAGCCATACATCTATATCAGTTAAAAGCAGAGCTGCTCTGAGTATAACGGAAAGGCAGGGGAAGATTTGGATTAAAAGAAGGACATGATCTCTTTACATCTTTAAAAAAGGACTCAGCTTTGGTGTAGATGATAGACTATTGTTGGGAAGGAGATTGGATTGGGCAAGATTAAAAGCAGGGCTATCAGTGAGGAATGTTTCCACAGAGATGATGGTAGTTTGGATTAGAGTGGTGGGGCTAGTGGAGGTGAGAAGTGGTCTGTTGAGGGTTACATATCTATACACTTCTTTTCTTTGTCTTTTAAATTTATTAAATTTTTTTCAACAGCTTTATTGAAGTATAATTGACATACAATAGAGGATTATATATGTGTGTATATACATATGTATTTAAAACAGACAATTCAGTGGTACAATTCAGTGGTTTTTAGTATATTCACAGAATTGTGCAACCCACACCCCTATCTAATTTTGGATCATTTTCATCACCCCAAAAAGGAACCCCATACTCATTAGCAGAAACTCCCAATTCCCCTTTCTTCTTCCCCTAGTCCCTGGCAATCACTAATCTACATTTTGCCTCTGTCAATTTGCTTATTCTGGATATTTCATATAAATGGAGTCATACAATATGCGGTCTTTTATGTCTAGCTTCTTCTACTGAGCATAAAATTTTCAAGATTCATCTACGTGGTAGCACATATCGGTACTTCATTTCTTTTTATGATTGAATAATATTCCATTGTATGAATGTACCACATCTTGTTTATCCATTCATCAATTGATGGACATTTGGGTTGTTACCATTTGTTGGCTATTATGAATAATGCTGCTGTGAATATTCATATACAAGTTTTTGTGTAGACATGTTTCCAGTTCTCTTGGGTATATATGTAGGAATGGAATTGCTTGGTTAATTGGTAACTCTATGTTTAACTTTTTTTTTTTTTTTTTGGTGAGGAGATCAGCCCTGTGCTAACATGTGCCAATCCTCCTCTTTTTTTGCTGAGTGAGACTGGCCCTGGGCTAACATCCCTGCCCATCTTCCTCCACTTTATATGGGACGCCACCACAGCATGGCTTGCCAAGCAGTGCGTCGGTGCGCGCCTGGGATCTGAACCGGTGTGTTTGGCGAACCCCGGGCCGCCACAGCAGAGCGTGTGCACTTAACCGCTTGTGCCACTGGGCCGGCCCCTATGTTTAACTTTTTGAGAAACTGCCAAACTGTTTATCAAATATATGATTTGCAAATACTTTATCAGATTCTGCAGTTTTTTTTTGTTTCTTGATAGTGTCCTTTGAAGCACAAATTTTTTAATTTAACTTAATTTTAAAGCACAGATTAATTTTGATGAAATCCAATTTATCTATTTTCTCTTTTATTGCTTGTGCTTTAGGTGTCATATCTAAGAAACCATTGCCTAATCCAAGATCACAAAAACTTACATCTATGTTTTCTTCTGAGAATTTCATAGCTTTAGTTCTTATATTTGGGTCTTGGATAGATTTTGAGTTAATTTTTGTATTTGATATGAAGTAAGGCTCCAGATTTGTTCTTTTGCACATAGACATCCAGTTGTCCTTGCACAATTTGTTGAAAAGACTATTCTTTCTTCATTGAATTGTCTTGGTACCCTTACCAAAAATCGATCGACCATAGATGTATGGGTCTATTTCTGGACACTCAATTCTATTCCATTGAACTATATGTCTATCCTATGTTAGTACCACAGACTATTGATTACGGTAGCTTTGTGGTAAGTTTTGAAATTGGGAAATGTGAGTCCTTCAATCTTGTTTTTCTTTTTCAAGTTTTTTGTTTTTGCATGTGGCTGTTCTGGCTCCTTTGCATTTCCATATGAATTTTAGGATCAATTTGTCCATTTCCACAAAAAAAGACCACTGGAATTTTGATAGGGTTGCATCTTAATAATATTGTGTTCCAGTTCATGAACACAGTGTGTCTTTCCATTTATTGAGATCCTCTCTATTTTCAAAGAAGACCCACTGGGAATTGCTGATAGTTTGACAAAAATAGAGAAATCCAGGAAAATTTCTAGGTTTAGGGCTTGAGTCCCTAGGGCAAAGGAGGTGCTATTTATTAAAATGGAGAGGACTGAGAGAGAAGCAGATTAGGGAGCAGAAATCAAGAGTTGTGTTTGGATTATGTTTGGTTTGAGGTGCCTATTAGACAACTAAGTGAAGATGTTTAGTAGGCAGTTGGATACCAGGTGGTCCAGAGTTTGGGGTAGAAATATAAATTTGGGAGTCATCAGTGTTAGAGTGTTACTTAAGCCATGAGACTGCATGACATCAAATAAAGAGAGATAGAGAAGAGAAAGTGTTGAAGGACTGAGATGTGGGGCATTCCAACATTTATCAATCTTTGAGAAGGGAGGGCACTAGCAATGATGACTGAAAGGAAGAGTAAAAAGGCAAATTATTGTCTTAATGTTGTCTGTATTCTGACGCTTTGACATCTGGGGACATGCTGACCCTGGAGGGACAGCCCCTCCCAGGATTAACCAATTCCTAGAGATAGTAAACAATTCATCCATGAGTGTGCCTTTCAAATGCAAACCAACCAATCCAGAACCCACACCCCCAACCATCTCCTTTATTGAGCTCTCACACTTCTGGCCACTATCGATCTGCCTTAATCACCCCAGGGCCAGGTGCCAGACAACTAGGGAGAGTCCCTCCATCCCAGAGCCCGCTGAAATTATTCAAACTAGCCATTTCTAAGCCCGCTTAACCTGCCTCAGCCATTTCTTCCTTCAGAAACCACAATGAAGTCTCTTGCCTACATTTTCCCCTTCTCTGTCTGTCTCCTGTATGACCCTGGTGCTTCCCTGTGTGGCCCCCTGTGGTGTGGTGTGTCCCCTTCTCTTGGGATCTGTGAGCATGACAAACTATTTTTTCAATGGCAGTCATCTCCTGATCTGTTGGCCTCACCATACCCTAAATGACAATAAAACCTAGAGTATAAAACACAGTGCTACAAGGAGGGAGTGATCAGTTGAGTCAAATGCTCCTGAGAGGTGGATTCGCAGTATGGAGGTCATGGATGACCCTGATAAGCACGGCATCAGTGCATCTGGTGCAGATGAAAACCTGTGTGGATTCAAGAAAAATAGGAAGTAAGGATGTGGAGATAACAGAATATAGGCAACTCTTTAGAGAAGAGTGCTATAAAAGGGACAAGAGAAATAAGACAGTAGTTAGAAGGGAATGTGAAGTCCACAGTGGGCTGCATTCTTGGTTTTATTTTAGAGAAGGAGATGTTACAGCAGATAACAGCTAGGAACAGAATCAAATGCTTTCCACAGGGAAATACTCAAGGCACACCTTAGCTAGACTTGAAAACCCTCTTCCTTATCAAAAATGCAAACCTATCCAGAAAAGGTATCATCTTACGCTGCATCTGCAGGCCTGGCACATGCGCAGCATTCTTATTTCTAGAGCACAAGAAGATAGCATGTAACATGTAGTTCTGGCAACAGAAAGGACTCCTAGTTCACCCACCACTGTCTTTAACTTCCCCTTCTTCCTTGCCCATCCAAGGGGACTTTCCTTGCACACTGCCTCCTTGAGCCAGCTGAGAGACAGACACTGGTATAAAGGTACTTTCCAATCAGAAGTCTTCTTTCTTCTAGGAATAATATGCCCCATGCAATGGTTAAGAGCTCAAGCTCTAAAGTCAGACAGATCTGAGTTCAAATCCTGAGTCTATAAATTATTAGCCTCTAAGACCTTGGGTAGTAACTCTTTGTGCCCCATTTTCCTATAATGCTAATAATAATAACACCCACTTCAAGCCAGAATCTTGGGTGTCATCGTAAACCTACTCATCTCCCATCTTGCAAATCCAGTCCATCCCCTAGTCCTGTTAATTCTACTTCTTGGATTCTTCTTGAATGATGCCTCTTCTTTCCACCACCCCACTGCTATTGCCTTAATTCAGCTTTTTGTCATTTCTCCTTATACCATAGCAGAGCCTCCTCACTGCCATTTTAACTTCTACTCTTGCTTCCCTCTGCTCTATCCTCTACTTGTTGAGATGGAGGATACAAACCTTGGCATCATCCTCACCTCCTTTCTTCTCTCATCTGCACGTGATTCATTAACAAATCCTATAGGCCCTTCCTTCAAATATATCCAGAATCTGACCACTTCTCACTGCTTCCATATCAGCCTG